CCCCCCATCCCACCACCATGCACAGCCCAGGAACCAGCAGGCCCCAGCCCTGGGCCCCAGAAGCCAAACCCCACATACTTGGAGAAGTTGAATTTGGGGAAACGAATGTAGTTCTTTATGTAAATGGTGAACTCTTCAGCCTCCTTCAGGAGTGGCTTCCTGAAAACCAACCCAGGACGGCCTGTCCAGGAGGCCCAGCCCTGCCCGCCGCCCTCCGCAATACCTCCCCGGGAGGCCGCTCCCTGGCTCCCCTGGAGCCTTTGTCCAGGATAGTGAATGTCCTCACGTTGGGGTGGCCCCAGGCCTCTCTGGGCCATCCTGACTTCTCCCTCAGAAGGAGGCCCCAAGGATGGCTGCGTCTCTGCCCTCAGGCTGGGACCCACTGTACATAGAAGGAGACTTCAAGGATGGCTGTGTCTCTGCCCTCAGGCTGGGACCCACTGTACAGGACTAGGAAACTCCTCGGTCCCAAGGCCACAGCCACTCACTCCGGCCTGACCCCGCTCTCCACTGGGCACCAGGCGAAGATCTCACAGGTACCCGTGGCTGAGTTCCCCTCCAGCAGGCAGCGGCCAGTCTTCACTCCTGGAGAAGGACAGGGACAATGCCAGGAGCCTCCCAACTCCAAGTCCCCCTTCTCGGCCCGCAGCCCCAGGCCCTTACCGTGCCCAGTGGCAATAGCCTGGCCAGGGTAGCAGTCACTGTCCTTGGAGCATGTGCTGTCAGGAATGTCTTCTCTCTACAGGGAGAGGAAGGGCCCCCAGGTCGGAGCCAGGTCCACCCAGTGGTTAGAACAGGGTCTCCTCTCCAGCCTGAGGCCACACACCCTTTGAGAACCTGCCTCTGCTCCACATGTGTGGGTACCATTGCACACAGTCTCCAGAGACCATTGGAGCAGATAGAAACCCCTGCTTCAGGAGAGGGGGTGACCCCAACCCCTGCTAGAGGATCTCCAGCCCCCTCTCCGACCCCCATGCCAAATCTGACCTCAGCACAGGTGTCTTGCCGCTGGTTGGGGGTCACGATCAGGTTGGTAATCACGAAGAAGACATTCTCTCCCTGAGGGACCAGAGAGAGATTGAGGAAGCTCCTCCTGCCTCTTGGGACCCTTCTTCTGGGACTGCTAGGCAGGATGCGGGCCTCTGCATGGGCACAGGGGGCCATGGGGTCACCAAATGGGTGGACTCTGCCCACCTGCCTGCTCACCCTGCAGTCCCTGGGCAGGCGTCCTTCGATAGGTCTCTCCTGGGCCCACAAAACCCAACTGCCCCCACCCCATGAGTCCCTATTCTGACCTCAGCCTCTAAGTCTGAGATCCAAGCCCAGATGTGGAAGAAAAATAGGGCAGAAATAGGCCCCCCCAGGCCTGGCCCAGGGTGGCTGCAAACAGGCTGGGGAGTTATTCTCAGGGGCAGGGGTATCTAAGGGAGAGGTTTCCTGTGCCAGACACCTGGCTCAAAATGACTTGACAGTTCCCTGGGCCCAATTTGATCTCGGCAGACTCAGAGATCACTGGGGACAGTCATACATGGCACCGTCAAGGAGGGCAGGGGCTTGGTGGGGGACAAGGATCTGTACAGGTCTCTATCTGTGAACTCTGGCAGCCGTCCTGGACCAAGGGAGACGATGGCTGGGCGTCCCTGGGCACCCACGCAGCTTCCCATGTGCTTCTCCCAAGCCAGGCCCTGAAGGCCTGGACCCCTGTGGTGCTAGGTGGGGTCTCCGACCTGGGATGGGATGACGTAGTCAGAGACATCCCAGAGCCGCTCTCCGAGCTCCGAGGTATTGGTGAAGGCCACGCCCTTGACTTTGGTGACGACGGCACTCTGCAGGGAGGTGTCGACATCTTGGTAGCCCTTCTTAACCAGGAACACCCATCTGCAGAAAGCAGGCAGCAGGTGAGCATCAGCCACAGTGTCCCCTTCCGGGAAGCTTCCCCAGGCCACAACAACTCCTAAGTGGGGTGGGGACAGGCCCAGGGCCGCACCTGCCCCTCTAGCTCCTGGGCAGAGATCACTGGGGCCCCACCGCTGCCCAAATCCCCGTCCTGCAAGCAGCAGACAAGACAAGGAGCCCCAGGGGTGAGGACTCTCTGATACAAAGACCTCAGGAGCTCTGACCCCAAACCTGGGCAGGCCGGGATGAGACGGGCACAGCCACATGTACTGCTGCGTGACCTCCTGCGAGCCAGCGGAAACTGGGAGCCTGCGTTTCCCACACGCAGCGCGGAGAGCTTACATGGCGCCTCCCTCCAGGGGGTGGGGGGATGGCTGGATCAGATGGTGCATAACCAGGAAGCTTTGGACAAACCCAAACATTCCGAAAGTAAGAGTACCAAACCCTGCATCCTTTGATACCAAAAGGATAAAGAACGCAAGAAAAAATAGGTAAGTTAGAGCTCTCCAAAATTAAAAACTTTGGGGGCCGGCAGGTGGCGTGGTGGTTGAGGACACTGGACTCTCACATGGCCGACCATAGTTCAAGTCCTGGACCTGGAGGCTTGCTCTCTCATGTTCCCACTCTCTCCTTCTCTCTTGCTCTGTCCCTCTCTGGTCAAAATAAAAAAATGAAATAAATGAATGAATAAATAAAAAACAAAATAATTCTTTAAAAAAAAAAAAGCTTAGGGAGCCAGCTCCATGGGCTAACGGTTAAAGGCGCCAGATTCCACATGAAGGACTGTCCAGTTTGAATTCCAGCCCCATCGACAGCTTGGGAAACATGTCAGGCATGTGTGTACAAGCCCCAGATGCTGGCGGGATGGAGAAATAGAGAAGAGATTGGACCATGACCATGGCCCATGGCGGGGAGGGGTGCATGTACCCTTCTTCCTCCCTGGCACTCTCTGGCAAGTGCATGTATCCTCTGACAAATTTAAAAAAAATTCAAAATGTTTGTGCAGCAAGGGACACTATCAAGAAAGTGAAAAGACAACCACTGAATGGGAGAATCATTTGCAGGTAATATATCCAGTAAGAGTCCAGTACCCAGAATACACAAGAGAACGTCAAAAAGTTTATAGAAAATGGAATTAAAGTACAGGTTTATTTTGGTTCAAAGAAAATTTTAAATCCAGCACAGTTTTTCATAATACACATTTTTCAGGAGGTTTTTAAAAACAATTGTGTAAAGATTTGTTATACCTTGGGACCAGCAGATGGCATAATGGTTACGCTGCTGGACTCCCATATAGCCGACCACAGTTTGAGTCCCAGACCTGGCGCTTAAAACTCATGCTGGGTGCATATGTGTGTATGCCCAAAATTCTGAGAGGAGAATGGAGAAGGGATTGAGGCGTGGACATCCCCCCTGGGGGGGATTTCTCACTTTCTGTCTTTCTGTCTCCTCTCCGGGGAGCACATACGCCCTCTAGCAAAAATCTTTCACAAAAAAGAAGTATTACAATTCAACAATAGAAAAGACAAATAACCCAGTTTAAAATGATTAAAGGAGGGGCCAGCAGATGGCGTAGTAGTTACATTGCTGGACTCCCACATGGCCAACCACTGTTTGAGTCTAGGACTTCGTGGCTTGAAAATCACACTGGGGACGTGTGCATGTGTGCCCAAGATCCCAGGCGGAGGGGGATTGCAGTGTGGCCATCCCCCTACGAGGTGATTTCTCACTTTCCCTCTCACTGTTTCTGTCTCTCTCTCCAGTGAGTGCACATGCCCTAAGGCAAAAACCTCTCAAAAAAAAAAAAAAAGATTAAAGGGATTGAAGAGACATTTCTAAAAAAAATAAAAAGATTAAAGTTATTGAAGAGACATTGCTTTTCTATTCTTTTCTTTTCTTTTTTTGTAGAGGTTTTTGCTATAGGGCGCGTGCGCTCGCCAGACAGAGAGAGAGAGACATAGAGACAGAAAGCAAGAAATCACCCCCCAGGGGGGATGGTCACGCCGCAATCCCTTCTCGATTCTCCTCTCAGGTTCTTGGGTATGCACGCACATGCGCCCAGCGTGAGTTTTAAGCCACCGGGTCCAAGACGCGAACCGCGGGTGACTACGTCGGAGTCCAGCGACATAGCCATTACGCTAACTGCTGATTCCCAAGAGACATTTCTCAAAAAAAAAAAAAAGTATACTAATGACCAATAAGCACATGAAATAATGCTCACCATCATTAGTCACTAGGGAAAGGCAAATCAATACCATGATGTGGTATCACTTCACCCTCACTAGGATGACTGTAATAAAACCCACAGTGACATGTTGGCTAGGATGTAGAACCTCGTACATTGTTGATGGAAATGTAAAATGAGGTAGCTACCATGGGACAGAGCTGGGCAGTTCCTCAAAAAGTTAGTTATCATATCATATGACCTGTCAATTTTATTCCTAAATATTTATCTAAGAGAACTGAAAACATATATCCACTGGACCAGCCAGGTGGCAAGGTGGTTAAGGTGGCTGGATCCCATATGGCTGACTTTGTGGTTTTAGTCCTAGACATGGAGGCTTGGGAATCATGCCAGGTGCATGCATGTGTGGGCCCAAAATCCCGAGAGGAGAATGGAGGAGAAGGGATTATAGAGTGGCCATCCCTCCGAGGGGTAATTTCTTTTTCTCTCTCTCTCTCTGTGTGTGTGTGTGTGTGTGTGTGTGTGTGCCTCTGTGTGTGTGTGTGTGTGTGTGTGTCTGCCTCTGTTTGGTGAGTACAATAGCAAAACAAAAACATATGTTCACACCAAAACTTGCACATAAATGTTCTTGGCACCATTATTTTTTTAAAGAATTATTTATTTAATTTTATCCATTCATTTATTTATTTTAATTTGACCAGAGAGAAACACACACAGAGAGAGGGAGGGAAAGTGAGAAAGCAAGCCACCAGGTCCAGGACTTGAACCGCAATCGGCCATGTGGGAGTATCCAGCACCTTAACCACCACACCACCTGCTGGTCCCTTAGCACCATTATTCGCGATAACCAAAAGGTGGAAACAATCCAAACGTCCACCGACTGAAGAGTGGATAAACAAAATGTGGCCCACCCGTACAACGGGATACTGTCCAGCCATGGAAAGGAATGAGGCCCTGCTGTGGCGGCAGTCACCACTGCACAGGTGGGGCAGCACGGGGAGCCCGGGCTCAGACCCGGGTCAACCTCCACAGGTCAGGAGCCGTGGCATGTGCCTGTGGTCCCAGCAAGCGGAAAGGCTACAGCAAAGGACTGCAATGGCAAGACCCTGCCCCAAATACCTAGTGCTCACACGCTCCCTCTTCTCTCGCTTATAAAACAAAACAAAAGGGATGAAGTACTGACACATGCTCCTAAACGGACGCGTCTCGGAAACAGCACGCTAAGTGAGAGAGGCCAGGCCACAGGCTGCACGACGTCCTTTGTGTGAGGTGACCGGAAGAGACCTAGTCTTACCGCTAGAGAGTAGTTCACTGATGGCCAGGGAGGGTCACCACTGGTACGAGATACAGGTTTCTTTTGGGGTGATGAAACAGTTCTGGAATTCCACAGCGGTGATTGTGGTACAGCATTGTGAGTGTTCTAAGGAGCACCAGAACGTATCATTTTAAAGGTTTAAAATGTATAGACAAATGTCTACCCTCCCAGGAAGAAAAAGGGACTGACCCCAAATGGTGAGGTATATGCTGTGTGAATCTTATCTCAGCGATCGAATGTTTTGTTTTTGTTTTAGATTCTGAAAACTCTGTCACCTGCTTTATTTCGGGAGAAGGGTAAGAAGAAAAAAGACTCATTCGGATATGAGGGACAGCTAAACTGAAAGCAACAGCAGCAGCAAAGTGAGGCCTCTGAGGTTTTTCTTTTTTCTTTTTTAATTTTTTTTTTTGAGAGGTTTTTGCTATAGGGTGTGTGCGCTCGCCAGACAGACAGAGACAAACAGAGAGACAGAAAGTGAGAACTTACCCTCTAAGGGGGATGGCCACGCCACAATCCCTTCTCCTCCATTCTCCTCTTGGGATCTTGGGCACGCACGCACACGCGCCTGGCGTGAGTTTAAGCCACCAGGTCTAGGACTCGAACTGCAGTCGGCTACATGGGAGTTCAGCAACATAGCCATTATGCTAACTGCTGGTCCCACCTCTGAGGTTTTTCTGATCCCTAAGAGGATACTGGAACTTCCTTGTTTGAAGATTTAAAAGTTTGAATTTTTCCCAAGAGCAAGATCATCCATTTTTGCTGGGATAAAAGAATAAAGAACAACAAACTCAATAGCACCAAATGGGATTTTAACACAGAAAACAGAGCCAGATTTCAGCTTTCAAATGCAAATTTTTTACATTAAAATATGTTTATAAATCGTGGATGTTTTTCCTCTGGATTCAACCTTTCTTCCTCCCCTAACAGGAGCCCTAGGAACCTAAGGAGCATGTTCATCCCTAACCAGATATACAATCCAGCCACCCCTCCAAATCTGATTACTAATGCACTAGACTCAGGGCTGCCCCAAGGGAGGACTGCAGTAACTACGCTCTCAGGAAGAATGGATATTGCGAATGCCACCGGTCAAAGAGTCAAACGCTGTGCACTGGGTCCAGGATGACTTGCACACCCTGTTCACTGCGCAGTTTCCGACCACCATGGACAGGAGAGTCTTGGAACACCAGTCTCACTCGATGACGTGCATGTCCATGCTCACACTGATAGTAAACAGGGTAAATACCATTCCCATGACAACTGGAATAAAGATGAAATTGAGGGCAGTGACCTGCAGGAGGCAGCAGTCCTGGTGTGGGTTGGCGTGGACATCTTCATGCTGAGTGGGAGGCTGCCCTCCTCCCATACATTTGCTCTTTAACCTGGGGGACTGTGTTTTGAACTTGAACTCCCACAGTAATTCCTGTCTGTTTCCAATCATCTTTCTGCACCAGAAGAGTAAACATTTGGAATTCTTTAATGTGCTGGGAGTGCTTTCTGGAATGGCTGGGTTCTTGGAGATTCACGCAGCAAATGGCTCATACATACAGTACAGAGGTCGGCTCACGCACGCCGGAAGACAGCGCAGCTTCTCCATTGACTCTGGTCGCAGGCGCAAAGGCAGAGAAGCATCCAGCGTGTAGTGCCTTCGGTACATCCTGGTCCAAAAGGCAGCAGTGCAAGTGACAGTCCAGGCATTCTTACAGATCAGGGGAAAATCCACAATGTCCTCAGGACGGATGTAGGAGGCCAGCAATAGCCAAATATCCATGGGATACTCTTCCCCTCCAGCCCCATCCACGTCTTCTTGTGCCTCTTGCTTTTCACTTCCCGGGAGACAGTTCTCTCATGGATGCTTTCCTCCAGGGCTTCCACCTCATCACTGCAGTCAATGATGTCACAGGGCTCACCAGCCCCAGAGAGAGCCTCCTCTGCAGGAACTTGGGAGGCCAAGCCACAAAGAGATTTTACTTCCTGCAAAAATGCTGAATGGCGTTGGCGACAGCTTTCTTGACCTGTCCAGACCTCATGACTACCAGATCTGAGTTGGCATAATCCGCCATGGTTACTCGACCAGAGCAGGCGTCGTGTGCCAGATACTTAAGTCACTTCCCTCTTTTGGGCATGGCGACTATGTCCAGGCAGGGCTGGCCTAACAGCCAGGACCCCAGGCCATGTCTCCAGAGGGAGAGCCAGCCCCGGAGCCACAGGCCAGCTCCACCCAGCTCCGAGGCCATCCGGCACCGGAGGCCACTACTCTCCTCTATGATCAAATATTAAAAAAGAAAAATCCTGTACTCTTCAAAAGAAGAAAGGTCCATCATGAAATACAAAACAAACAAACAAGCAAAAAAATACCTCAAACCTCAGGAATAAGTACAGATTACAAAGTAAGAGACTAAGAAGAGAAGCCAGCAGTTGGCACGCTGGTTAAGGCACTAGACTCCCAAATGGCCAACCACGGTTGAGTCCTGGACCTGGCAACTTGCTTTCCCACTTTCCCTCTGTATATGTGTATCTCTCTGGTCAAATTTAAATAAATAAATAAAGCATTCTTTCTTTCTTTTTTTTTTTTTTTGGAGAGGTTTTTGCTATAGGGCACATGCATTCGCCAGAAAGACAGAGAGAGACAGAGAGATAGAAAGTGAGAAATCATCCCCCAGGGAGGATGGCCATGCCGCAATCTCTTCTCCTCCATTCTCGTACCAGGAGCTTGTGCACGCACGCACATGTGCCCTTCGTGAGTTTAAGTCACCGGGTCCAGGACTTGAACTGCAGTCGACTACATGGGAGTTCAGCGACATAGCTATTATGCTAACTGCTGGTCCCAAAAAAGCATTATTTTTAACAAAAGAGAGACTAAGAAGACACAACAACTGAATGCAAGGTATGATTTCAGATTTTCTTTTGTTTAAAAATAATGATTGAGACAGTTTACATAAAAGACTGTACTTTGGGGACCAGCAGCTGGCGTAATGGCTATGTCACTGGACTCCCATATAGTCGATCGCAGATCAAGTCCCAGACCTGGAAGCTTAAACTCACACCAGGAGCATGTGTGCGTGCGTGCCCAAGATCCCGAGAGGAGAATGGGGGAGAAGGGATTGTGGCGTGGCCATCCCCCTGGGAGGTGATTTCTCACTTTCTGTTTCTCTGCCTTTCTGGCGAGCGCACATGCCCTATAGCAAAAACCTCTCAAAAAAAAAAGAAAGAAAGAAAGACTGTACTTTGGATAATGTAATGTTAATGTTAGTTTCCTAACTTTCATATTGCACTTAGTAAAATGAGGGAATCCCTGCTCTCCCCGCTAGTGAGGACCAGCAAGAAGGTAGCCATCTGCAAGCCAAGAAGAGAGCCCTCATCAGAACCAGACCATGCTGCCACCCTGATCTTGGACTTCCGGCCTCCAGAACTGTGAGAAGTATATTTCTCTTGTTTAAGCCGAAAAAGAGAGAGAGAATTCCTTGTTTTCAAGAAATACACCCAGAACTATTGGGTTCTTGGAAAAGTCATGACACATTTTGCATAGAAAAACATGAATAGAGGGGCCAGCAGATGGCATAATGGTTATGTTGCTGGATTCCCATGTAGGAAACAGTGGTTCGAGTCCTGGACCTGGCAGCTTAAAACTCATGCTGGGCACATGTGCATGAATGCCCAAAAACCCGAGAAGAGAATGGAGAAGAGGGGATGACGGCAATGGGCATCCCCTCTGTGGAGTGATTTCCCTCTTTCTGTCTCTCTGTCTCTTTGGTGAGCATACACACTCTATAGCAAAAATCTCTCTTTAAAAATGAAGAAAAGCATATTAAAAGAAAAATACATCATGACTTTACCAACTCAATATTTAGAAGAGGAGGGGCCCACACCTGCAACTTACTCTAATAGTTCAGGAAAAATTACATGTACACACGCACTAAGAGAGAGGGAGAGCACAACCCAAATGGTAAATGTTAACATTTGAGGAGTACAGGAAGACATTTAACTTCTTCTTCTTTTTTTTTTTTTTTTTGGAGAGGTTTTTGCTATAGGGCACGTGCGCTCGCCAGACAGCGAGAGACATAGAGACAGAAAGCGAGAAATCACCCCCCAGGGGGGATGGTCACGCTGCAATCCCTTCTCCTCCATTCTCCTCTCAAGATCCTGGGCACACACGCACACGCGCCCAGTGTGAGTTTTAAGCCACCGGGTCTGGGACGGGAACCGCGGTCAACTACGTGGGAGTCCAGCGACATAGCCATTACGCTAACTGCTGGTTCCCAACATTTAACTTCTTATACTATTCTCAAAACTTTTCTGTAAGTCTAAAATTGTGTCTTTTTAATAATTATCTTCTTTAATTTTATTTATTGTTATTATTTTTTCATTTGACGAGAGAGAGAAAGAGAGAAAGCAAGGCACCTGGTCTGGGACCCAAGCCCCGGTCAGCCATGTGGGAGTCCAATGCCTTAACCACCATGCCACCTGCTAATCCCCGAAAATAATATCAAAACACAAAACAGATTTTTATTTATTTATTTACTTACTTATTTTTAAATAATTATTTTATTGAACTTTATTTAGTTATGTATTTTAATTTGACCAGAGAGGGACAGAGTGAGAGAGGAAAAGAGAGAAAGCAAGCCACCAGGTCCAGGACTCGAACCACAGTCGGACATGTGGGAATCCAGCGCCCTTAACCACCTTGCCACCTGCCAGCCCCTTCATATTTTTATTTTTAAGAGCAATTTTTGCTAAAGGGCACGTGTGCTCACCAGAGACAGAAAGCAAGAAATCATCCCCTGGGAGGATGGCCACGCCATAATCCCTTCTCCATTCTCCTCTTGGGATTTTTGGGCATGCATGCACACGTGCCCAGCATGAGTTTTAAGCTTCCTGGTTTGAGACTCAAACTGCGGTCAACTATGTAGGAGTCCAATAATGTAACTGCTATGCCACCTGCTGGTCTCAAAACATATTTTTTTTAAGTGCGATGACATGTGTGAACTCTTTAGTACAGTGTGTGCCTGGCACAGAGGAAGCTGCCAATGAGCAGGTCCAGGTTGACATTGCCGATTGTTCCAGACGTGCAGGTGAAGCCTCCTTGGTAGTTGGGGAAACTAAGTCTCGAGAGAGGAATGCACCTGCCTGAGGGCCTGCAGTGAGTGGGCGCAACGCCCTGCTCTTCCCCGGGCTCTCCATACTGCAGCTACCAGCCAGATTTGCCCACCCTCTTCATCTCTGGGATGCCCTGGGCCCCTGGCTGTCACACCTCCAAGGAACTCTGAGAGGGCCATGATCAGCCAAGCAGCCATTTTAGCTGGGCCTGGCCCAGATAGAAACAAGCCAAATACTCAACTCCATTCACTCACTCATTATTTCATACCTCTTCCCTAAGCAGAAAAGTGATGCCAGGTCCCACACTCATGGCATCTCCAGACTGGTGAGGAGTCATAGACATAAGGCAAATGATCCCCCAAATAAGCTTATAACCACCCTGTGGGAATGCCAGAGAGGAAAGGAGAAAGGGTTACCCTAGACCCTGGGTCTGGAGGGTAAGGGGGCGCTAACGAAGCAAAGGGCCAGAGGCATGCCTGGCTGAAGAACAGCACGTGCAAAGGGCCTGGGGGAGATGACCAGGTGCCCTGGGATGGAGCGTAGGGAATGCTGCGAGTTTGGCCTCCAGGAGGGAGCAAGGTGAGATCAGGGCTGCCCTCCCGGAAGAAACAGGAGAGGCTCACCAGCAGTCGCTGAATGAGGAAAAGTAGGTGCATCTCAACTGTCCGGTGCTACTTCCTCCTGCCACCTGTTCCCACCCGCAGGAGTGCTCCAAACAGAGCGTGGCTGAGCCTCCCAGAGAGCTGCCCCTCCGGTTGGCAGAAAGTAGAGGAACGGGGACAGCTGCTCCGGGTCCGGGATAAGAGGCCTCTGGGCATGACCCCAGCTGGATAGGAGAGGCTGGCCAGGGGTGGGGGGAATGGAGAACGGAGATGGGGAACATGCCAGGCTGATGAGTTGTCCCAGCCTGGAGGATGGCACTGACGCTCCGTGATTATAAATAACCTACCCAGAGCCTGGGCCAGCTGCCAGCCCAGGGCCCACGGAGACTCCTGGGGTGAAAGCTGCCCTGGACCCCCCTGCATCCCTGCCTCCTTCCCATGGCCCTAACCATGGGGGTCTCAAGCCCTGGGAGAAGCCCCTCATGGAAAGCCTGAGAAGTCAAGGAATCCAGAAACCCCTGTCCACATCTCACCTCCACCGGCTCAGTAGGCGCCTTCCTTACCCCCACTCCACACTTACACCCAAGGGCCCGAGAATGGCCCCTCCCCAAGCAGGGTCATAGATCCCCAGCCACAGAGAAACCTCGTGCCTCCGCGCAAGTTCCAGGACCCTGGAGAGGGGCGCGTCCGCGAGCTTCCGCCCTCTCCGCCCGCCTTCCCCGGCCCCGCACCCTCCTTCCCGAGAGTCCGGAGAACTCACAGGACCAGGTAGGCCAGGATGGAGATCTGCAGCGTCCGGTGGAGCAGGCCCACCTTCTTGTTCTTGGCGACGACGTACTTTATGGTCTTGTAGTCGAACAGCGACAGGCAGAAGCCCCTCCAGCCCGCCCGCTCCATGGTGCTGCCGGAGCTGCGCCTGAACCAGCGCACGTGTGCCGCATGA